GGGGGGGGGGGGGGGGGGGGGGGTTGACATTTGATGTGAAAAGAAATGGCCCTGTTAAATTAATAAGGAGAATCTTATTTTCCAAGTGAACGCCTCGCAATACTTGCCTCCTACCCTCCCCCGCCTCATTTCTCCAAACCACAAAGGTTGGGAAAATCTCATAAATAAAGTGTAAGTTCGTCGAGGGGAAAAAATACTTAGTTAAAAGAAACAAACACCTCTTCAATAATGAAGGTGGGTAAGTTTTCCATTTCCAGGTGTTAATCTCGATGTTACTGCCAAGTTATAACTGGAGGTTGGTTGTGACAAGAGAACCGCGGGGCACAGGGCACACACAGAATTTTCACAATTAAAAATGAAAAAAAATAAGACTTTCTTTTCCCTCTCTCTACCTCCGTTGGCTGCTCCCGCAAGGACTGGGGACCAGGAGAGGAGGAGGCCGTAGCCCCTCCAGGTGCGCTGGGGACACTTGTTGCGGCACCACCAGAGGAGGTAATTTCCGAGCGGGTCTGGCAGGGTTTCAGAGTTAAAATCCCTTTTCTGGATGCTACGCCCCAGAAGTCGAGGCAGGTGGCGGGGACAGACACGGTGCCTAGAGGAGATGGGTTTTTAACTTGAACTTTGCTGGAAGTGCTTTGTCTTGCACGTCTGAGAATTACTCTGTGCGGTTAAACGCGACACACACACACACACACACACACACACACACACACACGAACACGAGCACACTCGCCCCGCAGAGGCAAGGGTGCGTGGCACCATGGCCTTCGACATTCACGGGCTCTGCCCCTAGGAAGCAGTGCGAGGGGACAGCCTCGGTGTGGCCGCTGACGTGAGACAGGTAACTTGGAAAGGACGTCCTCTGACTGCTCTGGGAGTGGGAAGCCGCGGGAGGAGGTTCCCGGGCGGCCCGGGTGCAAGTACAGCGCCGGCCTCGGTGAAGGGCGGGTGTGGAGGGGCAGAGAGACTGGACACCGCAGGCGGCTTCTCCTGATTCCGAGTTCATCTGTCTACGTGGTCATGCTCCGTTGAGAAAATGCGCGACACCCGAGAGAGTGACACTGAGCAAGTGTCCGCGCAGGCCGACCCGCTCGCCATGGTAAGGGGTCTCGAGGCTCGCCCGCACTCGGCTCTCTCGCGGAGGCTGGCACTCGCGCCGCGGTCTCGCCGGCGCCGGTCCGCGGCCGAGCCTTTGCCTTCAGCGTCCCCCGGTGGCACCGTCCGGGGTTTGCGAAGCAGAAGCCGAGGACACGAGCAACTCGCTGTGCGTCTGGAGTGACCACGCCTTAGGGCTATGAAAGCTGCTTCGCGGTGACTTGGGGGCGAGGAGGTTAACGAAGTGCGGAATTTGTCCTGGTTTTTTACCTAAAAGAAGCTGGCAGTGCTGAGCGCTTACATGACTTTCTGCTGGGGCCTTGGAGGTGTGGGATCGAGGAGCGGGTGGGTGGCGGGGGTGAATTCCAGGCTTAGGACAACCCGGGAAATGCCTGACTTACAGAAGCTGCCTCCCTCGGGCCGAGGTCTCGGGAGCTCTACCCGAGTGGGAGCGCCTCTGCGACCGGGGTCACCTTCCTCACGACCACACTTGGCGTTGCCCTCCAACCTCTAGGTGCCCGCGGCCAAAACCCTCCGCGCTGGCTGGTACCGGCGAGAGTCTCTGCCCGTACTCGCCCCTTTACATGGACTCTTTTCCTTTCCTGCGGCAGGCGAACGCCTGCAGGGACCGCAGTGCGACTGGAGGGCATCTCGCCGCCCCTGCCGCCGCCTCCATGCCCCGTGCTGACTGCGGGGCTGCTGCGACAGCGGAGCCACATCCTTCTAGTGCCCCCTCACCCGCGGCCACACCTCAGTCGCTCCCCTCCCCTCCCCCAACCTCCAACACACACCCGCACTCTGCCGCCTTCCCTTCCCTGCGTGCTCCCGGCACCAATCCCGCCAGGGGTAAGTGGAAGCCGGGGTCAGAGTGCAGGCGTAGGCGAGCGCACACGGCTGCCCTCAGCTCGGGGTCCACCCACGTGGAACCCACTGGCCCCCGAGGTTTCCCAGCGCCAGTCTCCCGGGCTCTGCTGCGGGCGCAGTTTCCCTGAAGCCCCAAGTCTCCCACTCACTGGTCACTGTCCAGCCCAGTCTTTCCCCCACGCCAGGGTTTGGCCAGCTGGGAAACCCCTTAGTCCCCAGCCATTCCCGGACAAAGCCACCCAGCTTCCCACACCGGAACGGGAAGGAGGCCCAGGCATCGGGGAAGAGACGCGCGTGGAGAGCGCCTCCAGGCGCCGGACCGCCGTGTGGTCCCCGTCCCTGGCCCTGTCTGCTGGGTGCGGGGCTAGGGTTGCGGCTGCGCCTGCAGCCCCATCCGCTGTCCCTCCAGCGCCAGCACCCGGCT